CGAGGAATTGGAAATAATCGAAAGTTAATCAGTGGCGTAGAAAATATGGGAGGAAAAGTTGCCACAACCCCCTGTAGGGCACCACTGGATAAAACGTCCGGAATGACTTCCTGGTCAAAAAATGACCCATTCAAAGATGAAACCATATACCGAAGTTGAATGCATTATATTCAATGTTTCTTGAGATATTGCGAAACAACTATTTTTATTTCCGCCCTGTATCTCGAGAACTTAACACTTGAAGACCGCAGCGTACATACATTAGACGTATGTACGCTGAAGACCGTATGTTCCTATCTCAGTGATCATGAAATCACGAGGGTTATCACCTGTCAAGCGTTGTCGGTCGAATTTCGAAACACCCTGTATATATCTATGATATTTGGAAAAAAGCAGGAGGTTCCTGTTCACTTTGAATATCTCGTTTGATTTTTTTCCTTTTGCAGATTTTTTTTTACCATAATTTACAATGAAATCAGAAATATAACCTGAAAATCAGGAAGAGCTGACGAAGTTATGAACATTATACAATGAGCAGAACGAGTTAGGTCAATCCACGGTCTTTTTTTGAGATACTTGTGGTGGGTCCTTTATGAAAAATCACCCGGTATATATAGAGTGCCGTAATATATTCTAATTTCTCTCGCGTGCCTTTCTTTGTCGTTAGCTTCTTCAATGCAATTTATGGAGCTGCCACCTTCACTGCCGTTTCATGAAGATACAATCTGATCCTATGAATTATTCAAATTGCAGCTAGTTTATGCAACTCGTCAATTACCATATCGGTGGAGCAGAAGAAAATTATTTAACACAACAGCTCATCGATTTAGTTTGCTCTAGTTGCATATCCACCGAAATTCATTAATTAGGCCAGTCATTAATAGCTATTCATATATCAAGGGAGAAAAGCTATCCATTTCCTACCGCGTGTGAAGTTCGATGCACGACGTGTAGCGGAGGGCATCATTCACACATGCGGTGATATCAACCTTTGTTTCCATGATATATATATATGATTTTATCAACGATAGCATTTTTTAATGCATCATTCTTGAAACTGTGCTTCAGTCGGTTTATCTCTCGATCCAAATCATTCCCAAATAGCACACAATGTCCTAGCGACGTCCCTATTTGGTACAATTCAAGTCCGAATGTCCCGTACCAAAAATAAGTGTCCTTGGGACGTCCCGTCCCGTACATTCCATGCAATGTCCGAGCAAGGACGTCCACGGAATGTCCCAGCAGGGGTCTAAAGTTCCTTTAGAGACATCCATCGGATATCCCGAGTAGTACATATTCTGGCATGACTTCAGATATTATATAATGTCCCTTCTAGACAACCATGAAATGTCCCTGATGGTACATTCCTCCAAATATCTCTGCACAAACACCCTTAATATTTCCAGGATCGTATAACAATCGAAATGTTCCTTAGGGATATATGTCGGATGTCCCAATTGGTACATCAACTGTACTCTTCCAATGTCCTAGAAATAACGTCCTACGGACGTCCCAGTCGGTACTTTCAATATGTTGTCCCTGCGAGGACGTTAACTTACACCTCGCCGACGAATGATTGCTCGTAGGCTATAAATACTCCCCTTCAATGTCCTTCACGTAAGTCCATTGGACATCCTTGGGAAACTTTTTCAGGATCTATTGAGGACCTTCTACAGACCACCAACTCAACTGGAAGTCCTCATCAGCTATGCAAGATCTGGTCCTAGAGGGACCCAGAAAAATTCAAATCCAAGAAATCCTCCTAACGAAGTTAATATTTTTTTCATCCCGTGGGAGTAAATTGATAACTTTGTTTCCATTAATGAGGGAGCAAACGCCTATTTTCTATTCAGTGGTACGATAAAATTATTTTATTGATTGATCCGACCAGTGATCAATCCACATAGATAACATAAAAATAATGATATCAAAAACTCATCTTTAGATAACCACACTAGAGTTCGATGATTGATAGAAAAAAATCCACCGATCGTCCCTCGCTAAACTTCCTCGAAATTGAACTTGAAATATCAAAATCAAAAAAATTATAACAATGGAAATCAACGCATCCCTTCATGCGAATAGTTCACCAAAAATTCTCTTTCCAGGTCACATTATAGGGATTTCCATTCGTGCGCCCCTAAAAATTGAAAAAATTCTCGGAGTCATTGAAAAAAGTCAACTTACGTATAAGACTATCAAGGGTCAGGCTTTTTATTTTTTTTCGTAATCGAGTGTATATCTATATTTATTCTCTATAAAATAAACAAAATCAATAACGGATTCCTCTGTAATTAGCTCAATCCACTAATTACTGATCATCGATTGATTATATAAATTGAAGAGTAGCAATTATTTTGATTACGAAATCGTTCCAGTTCTTTTGATGCGCTGTTAGATCACTTCTAGCTATAGAGATCATTTAGATTCTTCTCGTACCTTTGAATTATTTTATTCAACTTTAATTAAATGCTCATTCAAGATAATTAGCAAAGTGGGTGTTTACTTTGAATTACCCCATTAATCGACCCCATTAATCAAGAAGGCTTTCATTACCTGCACATTTTTCTTCTCTCAGATATCAATTAATGTTATCACGTATATAGAAAAGTTCTTTCAGAGTTACAAAAATCAATTTACTTTATGGGCATTGTATACTCCATGTGATTCAATAATGTGAATATTGTTCACTTCACTCTTTTACCACTAATCAAACTGATTTTTCATACGCCTTGACACGTGTTTCGCTAAATATGTTAGAATCTTCAGGAGAAGATTGAAACTGAGTAAATATTGTTAATACTTCTTCTTCTTCTCTTTAGGTTTAATAGATTTCTGTCTCCTTTCGGTAACAATTTCTCCAGATCAGGTAATTTTTTTCAAGAATAAATACTTGGTTATGTAATAATATTATCACTCGACTTGCCACATAAGACACCGGTTGTCTATCACAATGGCCTGAAGCCGAGTAATCAGTGTTCATAAGATTCGAACGTATGTACTCCTCTTATCCAGCAAATCCGCGTTGCTGATCCGGTCTGGTTACCGGCGTAGAGATAATGGAGCACGTTTGACTTCAAGTATGGCCCCCTTATCCGATGAATCCGTCATCATCCGGCCTCTATACCGGCGTAGAGATAAAAGAGCCTGATATTTCTCATACACACTTTCAAAACTTCACATTAAATATTGGATATCAATCCAGATCAGGAAAATTTTGGACTTGCACACACATTAACCTGACTTTTAGCCTGATGGAGACGCCATGTTTCTCCTACCGTGGCCAAAAGTCGAATCCCCAATCGGTATTTCTATTGTTAATTGAATATCGGAAGATGTTTTTCATATTTCTCAACGAAAATCAGAGTGAGACCTAGCTCTCACATCCAAGTGTCTATGAATGACATCATTGAAGTTTTAGTGATGGTTACTCCTTTAGATTTGTTCAGCGTCAAATATTTCTGAAGGTAATCTAAAAAAGTGTCTGGTGAAATTTTGCGAATGATCTCCTATTATTATTTGATTTTTATCCTCAGGAACGAATATAACAGTTTTGACTTTGTTTTGGAATTTGATATCAAACTGACGACTTTGAATGGACACGCACGAAGTTGATCATATCAGAACAATGTATTTTTCTTATTAAACTATTACAAACGAAGGGTACTTTCTTATACCTATATATACTCTGAATAATTCATCATTATGAAAGTCATGAATTTTTGCTCCTCCTATAGTACTTTTTTCTGTGCTGTTGGTACAATTTTACATCGTTTCAATGATTTTCTTCTTATATTGGTGAATGAATATTCTACATTGGATACAAATATACTCTGAATATTTCAGTGGGAGGCTGTAAAAAATGATTCCATCGGAAGTTTCGGTAGTATTTTTTTTTCATAATAATATACAAAAATATCTCGAAAATGGTGAGACATTCACTGCAATGATTTTTTCATTGCATTTCATATATACCCATGAAATCATGTCATGTGGACTTACGGAACACCCTGTACATGTATCCAACACCGCAATTAATAAGTAGTTTTTTTGGTTACATGGTCTGTTTTTTTCATTCTGTAATGGAGGTTTCACTAAAATGTTAATTGATTTCCTGATGGCCAGTTGGATTTATATGTAAAATAGATTTTATATGCCGTTGCAAGACCCACATGGAATTCATCAAAATTAACAGAGCCTCTAAAATTAGCGATATAAATAGTTCAACAACCCAAGTAGGAATTATCAATTAAAAAATTAAGACATGAATCCACAAGAAAGTTAAGCATCTCATTATGATTGAAGATCAATGTTGGGAAATCAAGATTGTTGGATAATACTCATCTTTCCTAAGTACTGCTTTCAAAAATCGTCTAGCCGATCGTGAATGATATAATCTCTTGTGTGTATGAGTTTGTGAAAATGTGGAAGAACTCAACCATTTCGATACCGATCATTTCATTATGTTCATTTATTTATGCTCAACAAAAATCATTGAAGAAAATTATACTATCGATTCTCACGGAATTTATATCTATAATAATTATTATAGGGACATTTTGACACTCGAAGAAACATCCATACTTATACACTATTCAGTCCAGATAGCCATTGAAATTGAAGGCACCCAATTTATTTTTGGTCCCCTGACGTATAATGAACAATAAAAAAACGAAAATAATAATTATATAGACACTATGGTAATTATTATAACATGATATTCTTATATGATATGGTTTCGAAACCAGATTGAATTTGGTTCAATCCAAATTCTAAGATGTGTTACATGAACAGACCTTTCAACACTAGGTACAAGATAACAAATCCTAATAATTAAAAAACAAGAATTCAACCATCATGCAAAGAATAAAAACAAGAAACCATCACTCATCTTTTTATTCGTATTTGACATACACTCTCTTCATACCAGTATATACAGCGTAATCAAATCAATCATTTTTTATCATTTTTCTGATAAACATTATCTATGTATCTGAGAGATCTCGGAAAAAACTTACTTTTTGATAGACATCTGTTCCATACGATAAATCAAATAATAGCTATAAATCCAGCACTGTTTGATTTGAGATCAGTCTGGAATGAATGAGAAAATGCAAAAAGTCATTGCTTCATTGATTTTCCTGTGGTATTTGACTTCAACGGTGAGACATCTTGAAGTACTTGAAAATTCTCATTCTCTACTTTGTATTTTCATATAGAATGCCAAATCTACGCCAGTAGTTACTTTACCAGATGGAAAAATCAGAGGAGAAATCCATCATACCTACAGACAAAAATTACCCTTCTATGCATTTTTGGGGATTCCATATGCAGCCCCACCTATCGGAGAAAACAGATTTCAGGTGAGTCCTCGAATTAATATTCTCACAGGATGTTTAAAAAAACCTGACCTCCTCGCTAGGGTAGGTAGAACAATGCAGAATAATTTGGGTTTGTTTTGCAAACAAATTTCGTGTGTATGTTGTTGTTGTTTTTGAATCTGAATAAATAGGTAATTGATGTCATTAAAATTTATTTTATATCAGTATCAGCTATTACTCCATCCATCAGCATATGAAAACAAAGTCATCAGTTACCAGTAGTTTCGACATAATCGCAAAAAATCTATGAAAAAGAAATGTTCCCAACATATCTTGAAAACGGATGCCTTTCCGAAATATTATCACATAGTACACCCAATTCATTTTGCAATGTTCTACCTACCCTAGCAGGTCAGGTTTTTTTGAAACACCCTGTATATACTTTGTTACAGCTAGATCCAAAATGTTCGTTATGCCCCAAACTCATTTTGACACAGCATTGACCTCATCCAACAATACAGGGTGATTCAAAATTCGATGTGAATATTTCGAGGATATATTGTTGGGATCGAAATATGACTTGTTTTTCATATTAACATGTGTCCAAAAATTCAACCCCTTCATGCCACAGCCACTGTAATTCAGGTAAAGAAAAAAGATATTCGGAGATTGTGAATAAAATAACAGGGGTGGGTGACGCCACACTCACTCACTCTTTGACATCATTGGAACACCGTAGAAAGGTCGGCGACCTTTCACTTTTCTATCGGTACTTCCACGGGAAATGTTCTTCGGAAATCTCTGCTATCATCCCTTCACTAGCAATACCAATCAGACGAACTAGACAAGCCCAGTCAGCACATCCTTTCGTTGTCAACCTCGAAAGATGTCGAACAGCACTTCATCAAGACTCCTTCATCCATAGAACGGCTAGGCTCTGGAATTCATTGCCTGTGGAAGTATTCCCAACAACATATAATCTCCAAAAGTTCAAAAAAAAATCCAATACCTACCTCCTGTCCCTATCCTCCCTAGGAACGCACGATGTTCTTTGAACATTATAGGGATTTCCTTTCGTGCGCTCCAAGCGAAAAAAAAAAAAAAAAAAAAAAAAAAAAAGATCAAATCTTCTGAAAATTGGCAGCCCCTGTCCTTTTAGACACTTCATTTTATTCTTTCTTTGAAAATTATGTGAACCCAGTTTTGGGGGGGTTGGAGGATGGTCATCACTTTAATTTGCCGAAATAGGGTGCATTTTGAGACACATGTTTATATGGAGAAAGAGTATTATTTTGATCCCAACAATGCGTCTTTAAATTAGTCACATCGAATTTTGAATCACCCTCACAAATAAATTGAAGCACATCGACATTTTCAGCCTCCGAAGCCTGTACAGAAGTGGTCTGGGATATTGATAACGAAATCAAACTCTAAAATATGTTACCAAACTGGAAAAGAACATGCACATGCCTCTGAAGACTGCCTTTATCTCAATGTTTATTCTCCAGTGGTAATTATGAACAGTACATAGTTAATTCAGATCAATCAAGAAATCAAGTACCTACTGTCATAAACGTTTCCTCATGTTTTGATTAGGTACCTGGCAGCAATGCCTCATTACCAGTGATGTTGAACATCCATGGAGGAACATTCATACATGGTGCAGCTTCTCCTGGTTTCTATGGTCCTCAATTCATGATCGAGCAAAATGTCATAGTAGTGACTATAAATTATAGACTTGGACCGTTTGGTAGGCATACTTCAATCCCACCTGTAAATCTTATAAAAAACCGACTTGTTTCCTCAGGATTTTTGTCTACTGGTGATAAAGTCATGCCAGGCAACATGGGTTTGAAGGACCAACAATTTGCCCTCAAATGGGTCCAACAAAATATACATCTGTTCGGTGGAGACCCCAAAAAGGTGATCGTTATGGGTCAAAGCGCTGGGTCAGCTTCAGTGACTTATCACCTGATAAGTAAATCATCTGCAGGTAAGCAATGAGAAACTAATATGTATATACGAATCGAAATATTCGTGGACTGATGTTTATATGTGTTATGACCCAAACAATTTTGGTCGGGGCAGAATTGGGCAGAACGGCAAAATTCCTGTAATCATTGATGGGTCAGTACCAATAAGAGACTCTGACCGTCATCAGGGTCAGTATATGTCTGCCGATAGATTCGAATAAAAAAAACGACCACTACGGGATTCGAACCCTGGTCCTCCGGTTATAAATCGAACTTAATCCAACTGAACAACTACACCTTCATTCTCCTAGTGCCTTGTCTGCCCATTCATCAAGGGCTGACGTAGTTTGGCTCCTTGTTATACCTAGTACAGGCTATCAACTTCCTTTGATTCGGCTAATATCTCAAGGGCATTTCCACACTCCTGCGTACCAATGCCGAGCTTGGTCTGGGATGACAAATAGCTTTGAATTCTGCCTGACTACCCGAACAGTTGTAGATCTTCTGCTCTGGTCCCTCTTTTACCTCTTGCCTCTCTGCTACGACTAGAATGGCAAACACCTCAGCTTGGAAAACTGTGGTGTATTTTCCTAGAGCGTAGCTTTCTCGTATGTTTCTCCCTTCGAGATAGCTCCCTGCGACCGATGTCTGTTTGTCAGTCAGACAGGATCCGTATGTGTAACATACTAAGCTTCCTGAGCAAAACTCCACTGTATTGCTACTCCATTATTCTCTACTTGGGATAGTAAGTTATGACGTATGTGAGAACATAATACGAATTGATACTATCGGCCCAGTGCCGTCTGAATTATAGGTAAACAATTAGAATATGCCATACAATGGGCCGACGTTTAGCCGGTGCAGCTTGACCATGGCCAGCAATTTGCCGATCTATCATGTAGTGGGCCAGAAAGCGGCTAGAGAATTGATGTTTGCAATGGAAGTTCCATTGATTATTTCACTCATTTCAAAATACACGTTTTCGGTTGCTTGGAATATCAGGGTTGATGATCGAAAACATAATGTTTTCGTTTTTGTATTTCGGCTGTTGATTGGCTGCTAGATACCTAAATAAGCTGTGTTTTCGATTCTGTATTTCGCTTCCTCATTGGTATGGTTTGATCAAAATATAAAACAAAATTACCTACATGCGCGATGGATACTGGATGTCATGATACTTCCGTATTCAGGGATAAATTGAATTCAATGCCAAAGTTCAGACAAAATCGTCATTGGTACTGAATTTTAATTTGTATCGAAGAATTTTGGACCAACTAAGTTTGATCGCATTCTGAAGAAACCTGTTTTATATCAACAACAATACCTTACCTCTCGAGTCCGAGTCGAGTGCCATCGCTAACCTTTACTCAACCTCCATCCACAGATACAACTTGACACTAGCGTCTAGAAACAGGACTCATCAAATATTGCGAGCGAGCCATGCAGAAGCAAGTCGACCTCTGACGAGATGCGTTACAGTATTTGGTGTGTCCTGTCTCTAACACAGATTGATCATAGTGATATAAGAGGACATCACATCCGTGACTCGGATTGAGAGTCCCACTGAAATCACACTGACTTTTATTCCGGATCCTTTTGGTCATTTTATGATTCACAATATGATGTCGGATGAAACTCACAATACGTACTAAGCGACTCCTCATTCAGCATCAAATTTGATTGAATCCTTTTGTTAGATAAATAGACAAGAGTGTGAGGTTCCAGTGAGTCTATTATTTTTCAAATCATATAAAATGTGATGAATATTGCGAATGTTTTGTAAAATAGAGTCCCCTGGCAATACCAATGATGTTTTCTTGTGATTCGCATTGTTACCTATCAGGACATGAAGGTGACATCCCAGGGATGTTTGTTTTTACTGGGTAGTTGCTATAGATGTATCGTATAGTTGCATAACGCACCGAGTGCCAATGAAGATATGACATGAAATTATCATTTTATTTATTGAAATAATGAGTGAAATGAAGTTAGCAGATACAACTCGTTTTATTGATGATTATCGAAAATCCCTACAATTTTTTCGAATCAAATTATGTTACTTTCAGGCAACCACACGACCGCATACCGCGAGGAACATAATTTGTGTCTCAAGATCGAAGGGATTTGAATTTCGATAATCATCAACACACTCGTTGTTTGTGTTACATACGAAAATTAGAACAGAATACAGTGTTAATTAATTTTCAGGATTGTTCAGAGGAGCGATAGGTTTGAGTGGTTCTGCTCTGAATACTTGGGCCCACGATCCAAATGCCGTGAATAAAACGTATGGGATTGCAGCCGAAATCGATCCTAGTTTCAGCAGGAACCGTACAACACAAGAGTTGATGGACTTTTTGCAGAGTGTTGATGGTAAACTTATCCACGCTACCGGTACCAATTCTAAGTATTCTGTGAGTGAATCAAAACACGTATATCGGGTGTAACAGGACCATGGTAAAATTGATGAACTTAATTTGGTGATAAATCAAAAAATTCGAGGATTCAATTTTTCCAGCAGAGCACCTGTCGATATGAGTACATCAGACTCGATCAGAATAGTCATGATATATACAAGGTGCTCCATTTGAAAATTAAAAGTTATTATTACTTCCGGTGAGACAGGAAGTAAAAAAAAACATTCGTGTCAGAACATTACATTTTTAAAGTTGATGGATCATTCCGAATTTCAATCATTTATCTCTAAAACTCAAGGAGAAAAAGCGGGTGTGCCATAATCCTGTTACACCTAGTATAGATACAGGGTGAAACAGAGTATCGAACTATCAGCCATGTAACTTCTGCATTCGTGAACTGATTGTTATGAAATGTGGTACAGTTATGTGAGCAACCATTTTGGATTTGATTATATTAGAATCCAATATGGCGGACTATCGGTTTTTCTGGAAATGCCGTTTTTCCAAATGGAACACCCTGTATATTTGCACATATTCTAATTCAACAAATCAAAACAGGAGTAATCTCTAGGACAATATCCAGGAATGTTGTTTTCCACAGCATACTCGAAAAACCATTCGAACTGCAAGGAAATTCATGAGACTATAGTTGTTGATTTTTGAATGTATATACAATTTGTACCGAAATACAAAAATGATGTCATTTTGTTCCTTGCTGTATGAATTTTTGTTAGAAAATGTTACTGAAATGATTCATCGATTAATGACACGAACCAAAGTTTGAAAAAGATAGGTTTCTCTAGTAGGTATATGTGGAACTCATTGAGAATAGCTTCGACTACTTTATGTTTCATTATTTTTGAAAAAACTACACTTGACATGAAGATTGCCCTTATTTGGGCATGTTGAACTAGGCTATGTAACAATATAATAAGGGTGTTCCATTTGAAAAAACAAAGTTGCTAGCATTTCCAGAAAAACCGGAAGTCCACCATGTTGGATTTCAATGTGATAGAATCCAAAACGGTTGCTTATATAACTGTACCAATAAATTTCAGAAGAATCCATTCACGAATACAGAAATTGCAAGGATGACCCGATAACCTGTGCCACCCGGTATAGTTATCTGAATATGAATGCTCAATTTGTTCGTAGTCATTTGCTCCTGTCATCGAAGTAGAACACGATGGAGCAATGATAACCGAGTCTATGTATATGTCAGTAAAAGAAGGAAGGATCAACAGAGTTCCTTATTTGGCTGGTATATGTTCGGAAGAGGCAATATTGATGGCAGCAAAAGGTGATGTTTTTTCTCTATTCAATTTTTTTTTCGAACAATCCACCTCAATTTACTGCATAGAAATCATTCTGAGGAGTACCGAAACCATCCTCTGACAATGTACATTTATAGAAAAAAGTTGGAACAAAACTGCCTCTGCTTACGACAAGGACTTGCAAAAATTGGTCGACCCTGATATGTACATCACAGATGCAACTATTCTGGAGAAAGCTTCTGCCGAAATAAAAGCAATATATACCAATGATACTCTTCGAGAAGATATTGGTGCCTTCACACAGGTAGAATCAATTTACTATCTAAACCTACTTATAGTTAATCATTCCTCCATTTCAGTATTTTGGTGATAATAGATACATGAGAGCTCCAATCAAGTATGCCAAACTACATTCCCAGTACGCCGACGTGTACTTCTATCAGTTTTCATATCATGGAATAATGGGTAACAACAACTTTACTATAGACGGTAAGTCTTCAAATATATAGAGAAATGGTCATGAAGCTGATCCTGTTAGGTTTATACTTGAACTTGATTGAAACTGTTTCAGGTATTGGAAGAGTGGGCCATGCTGAAGACATGCGCTATTTATGGTCCAATTATGAAAGTTATGAATCATTTCCAGAATCAGACTTGAGAACTCTTGATCGCTATGTTGGATTGCTGACGAACTTTGCGAAATTTTTGTAAGCCTGACATATTCCAGACTCGTGCGATTTCCACTGTTTTGATATTTTCAGGAACCCTACTCCTGAGAAATCGGAACTGTTTGGTAACAATATCTGGCCAAAAGTTACCAGTGAACACTATCGATACTTGGACATCGATCAAAACATAACCATTCAAGAAAACCCACGAAAATTTTCGTATGGAAAGTGGGAGGATATTTTTGAAAAATATGCTACGAAGCCATTGATATCTTTCTGAATATTTCAATGAAACCAAGTATTATATAGAAGCATGTTGAATGTTTAGATACATTATCTATACTTGTGGAGTCAATTTGAAATAAAACTGATGGAACCAGCAGCATAATTTCAAAGAAATATCTTCAACTATTATCACTCATTCCTCATTTTAGGTATCACAGAAATGTTGAGATTTATCTAGCACCTCAATAGATACTCTACTGAAGAAAATGATGGTTTCATTGATAATATCAACTATTGAGGTATTTTTTCATAACTCTATTCGAAGGAATGGAATGATTGAAGAATACAACTCTGAAAGTTTTTAAACGCTTATCAGATTAACACACAAAACAACTGTAATTAAAACACGTCGTGTATGCTCATCTTCTCATAAATTGAATTGAAGAGTCGCTCTCAATCAAATATATGATCTAGAATTACAGATAATTATGCAAGAATTCATTTGTTTAGCAATTAGTTAGTAAGAAAATTGTGCTTCAATAAGTCAGTAGCGGTCCTCATAGAAATTTTCAAACTCTAGTTAGTATAGGTGAAGTACCTAGTAATTAGATCATTTTGAGGTGAATTTTGTAGTTTGAAATGATTGAATAAATATAAAAGGTACTCCAGGACCTGTTTGAAATTGCAAATAGAACAATCAGTAGATATATCAGGAAGCTCTCTGGAATACGAATTTCCAATTTCTGGAAATGTAAAAATCTAGGGAAAATCACTTCTAACTGATAACAATGTGAATTTTATCATAATATACCACGCAATCAATAGAATTTTTACCTCGTGAAAAATCCGAACTGGACCACCATCTTGTTTACAAATTTATGTGAATCGAATTCTGATGGTATGCTATACATATATCATAAATGGATGAATGAAATCATGAACCACATCAAATGAAGAGAGTGGATTATTATTTGTTAGCATAGTGTATAATATCAACGACACAAATAATATATTCTAGGTACTTTACTATTGAATAAATACATTGTATTTGAAAGATTTTCCATACAATTCAAAACAGAAACTTGCATGTGTTGCGAGATGTGTTGCATAAAAATTGAAACATCAGCATGATATATTTTTTTCTTTTCATCTGTCTAAAGTGATGACGAAATATGTCACTCATATCAACTTTATGCTTCACTTGATACCAAGTTTCATTGCATAGAAGGCAGGCTATTATTTCGATGCAATAGACCATGGAGAATAGAATGACTCAATCATCGTATAGGGTAAAGCAATTTATTTATTTTTCTGTGACGGGAAAACAGTTTGAAATTTCATCTCTGTTGACAGATTATAAAATGTCACTTTTCATTAATTACTTTTTTCTCACGGGAAAAAAGTGAGAACTTTTGTCCCGGATGTATATCACACATATATATACACTGTTGATGGCTTTCGTTGTGCTATAGTTCCGAAAAATGAGCCAATAACACCGTCTCCGAAAAAGAACAGCAGTCCTCTTATCTTTCATTCAATTTCGCGGTTATACGTAAATTACTGAATGACCACTTAATTCGCAAGTTTTGGAAATCAAATTACAGAATTAGACTGACAGATATTTGATTACTTCAAGAGAATGATATATAGATGCCTGCAAGAAGGTGCAGGGTGTCATTCCTGTTAAAAACTTCAAACTTCACTTTAAAATGGTCAAATATGTTTCAGAGCTTCTCTATAGAATCTGGTCTAAAAACTTATTGTATTGTAGAGTAGCAAAGTTCCCTACCTACGATTATAACATTGCCCTACTCCCATTATTAGATGCACTCACTAGCGGTAGCAAAGTCAGATACCTACTACAGAAACATCATCTAATAGTATCATACAGATGCACTCGCTAGTGACAGCAAGGTTATATATCTAATAATCGCAGGTGGGTTATAATCAGCAAAGTCGACTTTATAATCACAGGTGATAACTCGCTTGTCCCCTATGCTATTAGAGTTTCTTGTTGGGGTAATTCGATTTCTGACTATGGTTAATAGAAATTTTCCTAAGTGTGTTCAAAACTTTAAACTTCACGTAGATATATTTCTGATTTCGATATATTGTAATATCTTCTCAATATTGATTCATCGTTTTTCCTCTCACAGAGAAAAATAGTTTATTATACACGGGAAAAATATTAGATATCAGCTCATGATTTTTCATCTCCTCCGCTACGCGTCAACACAACCTGGAGCTAAAAACTACTACATTCTTCCCTTGCATAATAAATAACTATTGTTTACCATCACAATCTGATGGTGAAATATCTCGAATTGATTCAGTACCATTTCTCTCACGTATATCTCTCATGATATTTGGCATGAAATAAGGAGGTAGCTGTTCACTTTGAATACTTATCTCATTTGATTTTGTTTCCTCTGTAGGTACTGTTCAACAAATTGGGGTGGTATTTTTGCGTTCTTACACTCAACTGTATAAGATTTCATAACCATAATTTGCAATAAAATCAGAAATATGACCTGAAAATCAGAGACCTGATAAAGTTATGTTAATAGTTATTACACAATGAGCAGAACGAGTTAGGTCAATCCAAGATCTTGTTTTGGTATACATTGTGGTGGATCCTTTATGAAAAATCACACGGTATAAATAGAGTGCCGTAATATATTCTAATTTCTCTCGCGTGCCTTTCTTTGTCGTTAGCTTCTTCAATGCCGTTTCATGAAGATACAATCTGATCCTATGAATTATTCAAATTGCAGCTAGTTTATGCAACTCGTCAATTACCATATCGGTGGAGCAGAAGAAAATTATTTGACAGCTCATCGATTTAGTTTGCTCTAGTTGCATATCCACCGAAATTCATTAATTAGGCCAGTCACTAATATAGCTATTTATAAAGGGTGTATCCTAATGATGCCAAAAAAAAATTCAAGTGGTATGGTATATGGTATGGATTGTATTTCTGAAATTTGATCTAAAAAATGAAATCTATTTCTCTGCATTGTGATATTGTCAAATATTAACGATATTGCTATAATTCACTACATGATTAGGGACTTAATATTTTTTCCTACGAGCGTGCGCAAAGTAGTAGGTACTTTTCCGCACTCATTTGCGTGCGCAAAGTAATACTTTTCCGCACAGTGCGGATATGGGTGTTATCCGCACGGCGTGCGGATAAAGAAAACTACCCAAAAATCTCACTGGTGTGGAACATTTATATTCATTTGAGTTGCTGTAAACTATTGTATGCACTATAAGAAGCCGTTATCCCTTTTACTTTTCAACCGTTCTTCCCGATATTTGTATTTCACCTCAATATAAATGTTAGGAACAAATGATTCAATTTTGTATCATTATATTTTATTGATATGTAATTGTTTGTTGTTTAGCTATTTCTATCAACTTTAACTAAAAATTATTCAATAAACTGTAATTTAAGTTGATTTTTTTTTATTTTCGTCGTTATCTGATATAAAGCTGGTAGGGAAAATGTGATTTTCTATTATTATATTTTATCGTTATATGTGATTGTTGTATAGTTACATTTTTCAATAAGTTATAATTTTTTTTTATTTTCCTTTTTATCCGATATGAAGCTCGTAGGAAAAACTTATTCGAACCTCGCTCTGCGTCGTTCGCCTAACTGTATATGCGTGAGGAAAAGAAACACTTTGCGCACTTGTTAGGAAAATAACTATTTCCACCCGTGGGAGTGAATTGACAACGTTGCTTCCTTAAATAGGGAGCAAAGACCTATTTTCGATTCAGTGAGTTGATAAAATTATTTTATTGATTGATTCGACCAGTGATCAATCGACATAGATAACATGATAATAATGATATCAAAAACTCATCTATAGATAACCACACTAGAGTTCGATGAATGATAGAAAAAGAATCTACATATCGTTCCTTGCAAATCTTAGAAATTGAATTTTGCTCATCATGCCAGGAATCAGAAAAATAAATAATTGTCACAAAATTATAACAATGGAAATTGACGCAAAAATCCCTCCATACGAATTTTTCACCAAAAATCAAAATTCGGAATCATTGAAGACAGTCAACCTATGTATAAGACTATTAAGGGTTAGGCGTTTTTATTTTATTCGTAATCGAGTGTATATCTACAATTATTCTCTATAAACAAAATCAATAACGGATTCCTTTGTAACTAGCTCAATCCACTAATTACTGATCATCGATTGATTATATAAATTGAAGAGTAGCAATTATTTTGATTACGAAATCGTTCCAGTTCTTTTGATGTGCTGTTAGATCTATTCTAGCTATAGAGATCATTTAGATTCTTCTCGTACCTTTGGATTATTTTATTCAACTTTAATTTAATGCTCATTCAAGATAATTAGCAAAGTGTGTGTTTACTTTGAATTACCCCATTAATCGTCCCCATTAATCAAAAAGGCTTCCATTACGTGCACATTTTTCTTCTCTCAGATATCAAATAATGGTTTCACGTATATATAGAAAATTTCATTTAGAGTTACAAAAATCAACTCACTTCATGTTCATTGTATACTCCATGTAATTCAATAATGTAAATATCATTCACTACACTCTTTTACCACTAATCAAATCGATTTTTCACATCCAAGTGTCTATGAATGACATCATCAGAGTTTTAGTAATGGTTACTCCTTCAGATTTGTTTATACAGGGTGTCAATTTGAAAACTTCCCACCCTCAATATCTCCCTCCAAGTCGATAATATGGAAAAACGAAAAGACAGGTCGATTTTATTTTCGAGGGGGACATGGTTCTAAAATATTTTCAGCCCCGCGGCGTTGCCGCTTCTAACGAAAAGAAGCAACAACTTTGTTATTTCAAATGGAACACCCTGTATTTTATTGCATTTTTAGAT